TCACCCCCCTGAGTCTGGCCCTTGGCTGTGCTGTGCATCCCTGCTTTATCTGGGGAGTTCTGGCTCAGTGGGTGTGCGACATGGTGTCCTTTGATTATTTTTGTGTGTTTGCTTTTTAAATGTTTGAATGTAGAAGCTTTAGAACGTCTTGGCTCATTGTGAAAATGAAATTGGCAGTAACATTGTTTAGCAAATTTGGGAGACTTTCAAAGCTCTTCATATTGGTATTGCAGATTTCAGTTACTCAAAGTGTAACGGGGTAACGTTTCCACCTATCAGGCACTGCACATACGTTAATTTTGGAAATAAGCTCATTTTAAGATACTGTTTTCAATGCAGCCAAGTTCCTGTTTTCTTACAGAAGAGCACGATGAAAGTCCCAAAGCATTCCATGAGATATAAATGGACTTGGCATATAGTTATTTTCTTGTGATGTCCAATCCAAGTTCCTGTTAGATTTAAAAGGGTTTTGATCACAGATAGTTGTGTGCTGTTTACCTGCATATCTCAAGAAGCCTCTTGCTCTACAGTGATTTGGTCAAAATTCAGGTCTATCTTTATCCAGCGATTTACAGAATCTGTTTTTAGTAAGTCAGTCCCTGAAGGCAAAATGTTCCATGATGGCTCATGCAGTATAATATTTGGTGGCATCAGCTTGTGAGAACTGCAGTAGTTGGTGAAGATCCACTTCTGATATCTGGTTTAGGATCTGATATTTTTTCCTCTGCTCAGAAAACTATTGTGCACAATTTATTAGTTCATTCTAGTGGTGATGACTTGACAAGGAGTGTAAATAGGTCAGCCTTCTAAAGCATGCCTGCGATTGCTCTGCCTTTGGGGCAGGTTGTGCAGAAAATGGCCCTTTGTCCCATGCAAAACACCGGGGGGATTTCTCAGCCCGAACAAAGAGTATACTGGGTGTGACTTTTCAGATTGCCGTTGTGGGAGAAAGACCAAGAGGTAGATGTGAATGTTGTATCAGAAGGTCAAATATGTTACCAGCTGGCTCTGTTAATTGTTTTTTGTGAATGTAAGAGTTGAAATACAATATTGTCCTTTTATGCCACGGAACATTCAGTAGTTTAAATGTCACATTCTTTGTCTTAATGGTCAACAGCAAATCTGTGGTGCTTGCTATTTTTACCTTTGGGGATATTAGAGTGAACACGTTTTTCCAAGCGTTGATGCTGTAAACAAAGCATTGCTGTTTGTTACCCATGGATAAGATTGTCTGCATTAGTGGAGCATCTCAGCGGATGTTTCGGATGCTGCTCTTGGCTGCATCACCTGGGAGGCTGGTGACAGCAGGTTCATTGTTCTTTCCCAGAAGAATGCTCCCTATTTTGAGGGCCTGTCTTCAGGGGCTCTGTCTCTGGGGCTCTGTTTTCCTGGTTGGCCCTACATCTGCTTGGATGCTCAGCTGCTGAGGTGGGAATAGGACAACGAGCAGCAGAACAGACCACTTCGGTTCAGGGCTCTAGTTTGTGTGTGAGAATGAGTAGGTGGCTCATGGGTTGGTTTTGCAGCATTATTTGCAAAGGTTCACAAGTATTTGCAGGTAAACACATGTTGACTTTGGTGTCTTTTACTGCTTTTGTCTGCTAGTTATTTCCTAGTGCCCATCTGCAAATGTCTCATTGATCATGGTTTCCAGCCTTATCCACTTTCTTAGAAATTCCTCTCCCCACTCAGTTTGTTCACAGCCTTGTGGGCACAGTTTGTGCCCACCCCAAGCACTGTAAGTGGAAATAGGAGCTGGTCATAAAAGAACAATCCAAAAAAGTGAAGAAAGGTTTGTTATTAATTTCCAACCTTCTTCTTTCTCATTTGGTAGGAGTTATATATATATGTGCACACACAATATGTGTGTGTGAATTTGAATATAAAATATTTCTATGATATCCAGTGAATGCTGTTGCTTAGCCTGGAAATTATTCTCCTTACAGTTTCACCGACAACAATAAATGATTTAAGGTTGAAATTTCTAGAGTGACATGACTTTAAAATCTCATTTTTGAAGCTGTCTCAAGGTCTTAGCAACTTAACTTCATGGCATTTATGGTTTCTATATGCTCTTGAAGGATACGGCAGGTAGACTCCTGAATTTCTAAGTCTCTTTAAGCTTTCCATGAAGATCTCTTCGTGAGTCTGATTTCTAAGACTCTGCACCGTGCATCTAGATAGCAGCGATAAAAATGCATTATCTGTTTTCAAAAGTGTTAAGTTATTAAAGCATAATCAATTGATTATCATCTATTTTAGTAGTCATTTAATCCAATTATATGTATTTTTTTATTTTAATCCTTGGAATTCATTAATGAAAACTTAGAGTGTTGCTTGTAGCCATGAAAAAATTAGATCGAGTACAGCCTGCCCTACTTAAACTGTGTATTAGCAAAGCTACTTTTTCCTCAAGAAATACTCTTTTTCACAGTTGGCGATGACTTTTTAAATGTTTCGGAAAAAACCCTCCCTAATTGATAACCAAAAATTAATCATAGTCGGATACTTCCAGTTTGCATTCAAATAAGGTATTTCTCTGTCTAAATAAGCTTCCCTTAGTTGATTATTCATATTGTAGTTCAAAATGTTTAAAAATGAAAGACAGAGTTGGATGAAATGTAGACTACTTAATACAGTGTGTATTTAATATAAAAGTCATGCATTATTCATTTTTGCAATTTGAATAACTTTGAATTTAGCATCCCTGTTCTTCATCTTTTCCTTTGATGAACAATTAATTATTAAAATATAATATTGTCAGCATATGGCACAAAAATCCTTGAAAGTGTAAAATGAGCTTCCTTCTCCTGTCATCCTCTGACAAAGGGATACTCCATATTCGCAGTTTTTCACAGTGTTTATCCAGCATCTTAAGTGATTCCATCAGTCTAAATAAAAGATTACAGAAGTTTAAAATAGTTAAATCATTAATTTTAACTGAAACATTTTTTTTCTTAAGCTCAAGAGGAGAGCACTTTTCAAAATGTGCCTCTGCCTCCCATCTGTTTCATGTACAGTCATTTTCCGTTAATGCAAAGAGGATGTTTGCCTGTTCAGATGCTCTTTTGGATTCATCGTGGCCACTGTGTGCTCAGCTCCCATACAGAGAGAGGCAGCTTCTGAAATAGAAAGCTGGTGTCGAGGTGTGTGTGTGCTGCGTTTGGAAATCAAGTCCTGTGACTGAGTTTGTGCCTTTTCTAACCAAGTTTTGCTGAATAAAAATGAGCCAATCAAATTAAATTCGACCTTTTGCTGTGATTATGGCTTCTTGATTAGAATCTCTTTGATCTTTGGCCAATCATATATATTTTAATATTTATTATTTAAGCACTTTTTTCCCCCCCCAGAGGTTTGTTATGATGAGGAAAAAATGTGGTTTATTATTTGTTTGTTTCCTTTTTGGAGATGCAGAAGTGGTTGAAATCTACCTGGATTAGGAGGAAAGGAGTTGCTAATGAAGATATTGCAGTATTGCCTTGACTTTATTAAAATTACTCATATTTTAGAATGCCAAATGCTATGAAAACATTGCACACCTGTTGATACTATGCAGAAAATAGAAGATATCTGAAGTGCATGTATCATTGGCACTTCCACAGCAGTGGAGGAAAAAAAATCCCTGATTACCAGACTGTTGCTCAGAGGTATTGGCAACTCCTGATTTGATCAAGAATTCTAGAGAACTGTGGGATGCTGGGGAAGTGAATTCTGCAGACTTCATCCCTTTTGGAAGATGTGTGTGTCAATCACCAGCCTACCTGCTTCTCCACTCTGTCGGGGCGGGGAGGGGGCTGGTGGGTTTGCTTAGCAGCTGTGGTGAGACAGAAAGAGAAGAGTTCCCCTTACCCAAATGTGGGCTCCTGTCGGAGGCAGGCAGGATATGGAAAGTGAGGAATAGAGATGTACAGCCTGGCATGTCAGCATGCCTGGAGGCAGTGAGCACCTTTGCCCAGGCTGATAGGGCGCTTCAGCCTGTGAGTCAACATAAATTGCAGAGGATAAATGCTCAGGGATGGCAGGGAAATTGTCTTGCCTGCAGCTGTTCCCTTCTTTTGTTTATTTATTTTTCTTCGCAGTGTTAAATATTACTAGCTTGTCATTGTTACTTGAAGGTAAATGCTTCCAGTGCTTAGGTCTGCATTTCAAGCTGTCCAGGGAGCTTCTCAGAGGAAAAGGGTTTGTCCCTGAGACTGTTGGACTCTAGGAAGGAGTTTCTTGGATTTGGGAGAAGAGGCAGCAGTTTTACTTCTGAAATATATTCCTGGTGCTGTGCTGACTGTGCCTGGCAGCACCCTGGCAATGCCTGTGTGGCTGGGTGCAGGCAGTCCTGGGTGAGCGCTGAGTGGATGTTGCTTTGAGCACCATGTCGAGCTTCAGACATGCCCTGCTGCCCTGAATCTCTGCTGCCCTGTACCCTGCTCCTCAGCTCGTCCTCCTGGAAGCTCCCAGAGAAGTTTGGCTGAGCAGCATGGCTCTGCCTCCTCCATCTCAGCAACCCACCGAGGGTTTGACCCCGCTCCTGCGGCAGAGGTGGGATGGATGCACTGCCTGTCTGGCAGTGATCTGAGCAAAGATGCTCTTTGGTCTGGCAGCAGCAAGCAGGGCCACTGGGGCCTGGCTGTGTCCCACTGGGTCCTGGTGAAACGTCGCAGCCATTGAGCTGAAGAGCCATGTACTGATTGCTGAAAGCACTGAATGCAGTATTATGTCGATGCTAACTTAAACCAGTGGGATAGCAAGTGCATTTCACACCTGCACACGTTCAAAACAGGCGGGTGTGTGTTCGGTATGGGACTGACTAGCATTTTGGCTGCTCTTTTAATAATCCACGCATCAGCTCTTACCCAGCCTTTCTGGTAGGGTGTTCCCATCTTTCACTACATACATGATAAAATATGTTGTTGCCATTACACCTTGTTAGGCTGCCTAGCAGTGTGATGTCTGTTTTAAAGACACATAAAAAAAAAGTGTAATTCTGCTTGTCAATCTTCCCACAGAGAAGGAGACCTTTCTGGATCCCTTTGTGCTGAGGGAACTTCTGCCAACTTCACTGGGGAGCTACTACCGCTACACAGGTTCCCTGACTACTCCTCCGTGTAGCGAGATCGTGGAGTGGATCGTTTTTCGGAAGCCTGTTCCCATTTCTTACCATCAGGTGTGTTCATTTTGTTAGTGAAGTCCATCTCTTGATTTGCCCTCCTTAAGACTGAGTTTTCAAAACCTGCCGGTTTCGTTTTGAGAACACAAATATTTCTGTTGACAAAAAAGGAAGTGTCGGTGATTTTTTTTTTTAATTCTCTTAAGCAATATTGTTTCTGAACATGAGCCATCAGTCTTGAGAAGACAGTACAACATGAAACCCAGTTTCCTTTCAGTGATTTATTTAGTATTGTTTTTGTTAAGATTAAATTAAACTATGGTATAAATATTTACATGGAGTTCCTTTTTATTCTTTTTAATTGAAACTTTCTTTTCAAAGTAAAGTGAGCGATTTTTCTGCTCAGATTTAGTAATTTGAACTAATTACATTAGAAAAGACATCTTTCCATTAATTCTCCATGCTTAACTGTTTTTATAACACAGTAAAGCTGCCATTATGTGCTCTGAGAGCTGGTGCACAAATCTTTAAAATTAGCACACAGTAGCTTTTAATGCAAATAGACACAATGTCTGGAGTTTGAAGAATGCTCCTGATAAAGCAATGGCTAGATGCAGTCAAATGTTTACCAGTTCAGTGCATTTTGGCATTGTAAGACTGTTGTCTTTAGACAGTCAACCTGCTGGAGTTAGTCTTGCCTTTTATTCATCTGGCATAAGCTGCTGAAAACAAACTTTTTACATAACTAATTCTGTGAAGCACAAATGAACAGTTCGCTGGCTGATCATGACTGACAGATACTGCGCTCAAAGGTTCATAAGTGTAGAAGGCAATTGCCATGCTCCTGCACCAGGTTTTTAACATGTTTTCTAGTTCATGTTGCTCCTTCCGTAGACTCTTTCATCTTTTTCTGACAGGCCATGTCACAGTGCTTCAGCTGGGGCCCTCCAGGGGCTGAGGGACACGGCAGGATCCATGTCTCCAGCCACCTTGCCCATGTTCAGCTCCTGGTCAGCAGGAACCCTGCTGCTGGAGGCTTTCCCTGGAGCTGTCTGGCAGTGCTGAGCACATCGTGCCCCCAGGCAGCCCCCGGTTCTGGCTGGAGCCTGGGACTCTGCACATGGTCCCGTTTGAATCGGACCCTTTGTTTTTTCAGGCTATTTCTCTGATTGTCGAGATCATTTTGAATTCTGTCCCTGCCTGCAGAATACTTGCAATCCCTTGTAGCTTTTCACTACATCAATAAGTTTACTGTTTATTATTTGGTGGCTGCGAGGCCTGGCCCACACTCAGTTTCATACCCTGTGTGTGCATCAGGTGGGTCATGACTTCTGTTTTGTTTTTAACAAATGCAAATAAACCAGTAAATACCAATTAGGGCTGTTGTTATAAAGGTACTTTATCCTGGCATAGCTCCTTTCCCGTGCTTTACAGCAGTAACTGTGCCAAGTTAAGCCTTTAAAATTTGGCGTTGTGCTGCTCTGTGCATGTGTGTGTGGTTGAAGGGCTGGGAATTCTGTGTGTAGAGAGACTTTCATTGATACTACAACACATGTGGAATAAATAATAGCATTCCTTCCCCCCTGGCAGCCCTAGATTTGTGTATTTTAAGAGCCTGCCACCCTGCCACTGCTATGATTATTATTTTTTTCTCTAACAGAAACAGTGAGACATAATCCATTGCCATAGTTTAACCTTCTTTATCACAAACCCCATGAAGCAGCCTGTAATCCCAGGGGAGGAAAGTGATACTGTTTAAGCTTTGTTGCTGTTCCAATTAAATCCTTGCTTTTGTGCAAAATACCTTGCTGTAAAAAGGACAGTACTGAAGTGGTCCATTTGTGGAGGCTTCTCTGTTTTATTCTCGGTCCTCCATCATCATCATCTTCCCTTATAATTAGACAACAAAACAGTACAAGCTGTGTCACCCTGCAGACACATTGTAAAGCTAAGTGCATTCAATGACCCAAAGCATGGCATTATCTCTAGTAATGCATACCTCAGAGTATCTCATTGTGCTTATAACAGTTTCAGTATTTTTAATTGCCATTTGTATATCCAACCCTTAGAAAGCTACACATCAGGCTTTAATGGTTTGTAATTGCATTACTCAGAGTTTTAGATCAGGTTTTCCTGTATCTACAGCAGTCTTACAAGAGCTTTTAATTTCTTCCTCTGAACATGAGCTCTTGTACTCCTTGAAGAGCATGAATGTAGCTCCTTGACTGCAGATCTTATTTTTTTTTTTTCTGGCAGCTATGGATAAATTAGTTTCTCATTTGTCGTAGATAATATTTTTATATTGAAAGTGAGGTTGAAATTACTTATATATACTTCAACACATAAAAAGGGGAAGGTTAAAAATCATATTTGAATTGGCAGTTGTTAAAATGCAATTATACCTCCCTAAGGTAGCATGGCAGAAGAAAATATTTTAAAAGTTCTCTCTGAAAGTTTAAAAATTCAATTAATGTCATAGGTGTCTAAGCCTAGAGACTTCACTTCAGAGGAGCAGTTGCTACCCAAGTTCTTGAGCTTTTATAAAGTCACCTTAAACCCTATTAGCAGGCTTCATCAAAACTGCTTCTCTAGTGCATGAAGTGCAAAAGGTATGTAAATAAGCATGAGAGTTTTGAGCTGTGCTTTTATAGAAGGGCATATCAGGATCACCTGTTGGGGTTTTTTTCTCAATACAAAAGTGTAAGTTAATAGTCCCTTTACCCCTTTTTAGCCCTTCAGTGCTTTTGAGTGGCTCCTGCTGATAATTAGGAAATGGTTTTCACATTCTTCCCCGTTTTTAAGTTTGGGGGCTCACATGCTTCTCCATAGCTTTTAGAACAGACACACTTAATGAAAAGGGTGTCGCTTTCAGAGTGACCTGTCATGAAGCTATAAATGTAAGTCAAGTCCGTTTTTGAAGTCCTGGACTGTGCTCCCAAAATCCATGCTATCAATATGTGTAACTGATGTGATGCAAACACTATCAGGACTGATTCGTTCTCTGCTCTGTCTTGCACAGTCTTTCCAGCAGCAACATAACTAATTCTAGTTCTTGACCTGAATGATAACAAGGTAAATGCTATACCAACCTTGATGGCTGTGAGAAAAAACATTAGCTGAAAATATTTTCATCTTAGTTTGCTAGAATTTTTTTTCTAAGAAATACTAAGATACGAAGTAACAGAAAAGTTTTCCAATTACAGCTCTTTCTTACAGGTTAATATGTTTTCTTATAAATAGCTCAGATCTGAAGCCGACAGAAGAAACTTATTCCCAGGGGGAGTATATGCTAGCCGTGCCTGAAAGCACTGCACGAGCTGTCTGTGGAGCTTAGCCTGGCGGCTAAACTTTGTGAGGTATTTGGAGATAAGGCAGCATTGCCTTGTCCAGGAGAAAAGCTCTTGGGGTGGAATGACCTGGAAGCACTTTTTGACGTGATACTGCGAAACGAAACGGTGCCAGCAGTGAGGAGGGTTTGGCAGGGCTGTGTCACGCACAGAATCCTTCCAGACAAGGGGTCTAAGGGCAAATGTTTCCTTGTCCATGACAGGCGTCCACAGGTTGCTAGAAGGCCTTCTCCCATGTTGGGCAGGATAAGCCCTTTGCCGAGATAAGGCGGTTGGCAGAGATTGCAGTGGGCAGTCTGACTTCCCATGTGGTTTATCAGTCTTGGCATCAACATTTTACTTCCTCCCATTTTACTGTCTTATCAGCCACCCGGATTTCACCACATTGTTTTTCTAATCAACGTCCTTTCTCTCCCCTGCCATGATGGCTACGATCAGCTGGAGGCGTTCTACTCCATCTTCACCACTGAGCAGCAAGACCACGTCAAGTCCGTGGAGTACCTGAGGAATAACTTCCGACCACAACAAAGACTGAACAACAGGAAGGTATCCAAGTCTGCCGTGAAAGATGCTTGGAACCAAGATTTGACAGACATCTTGGAAAATCCACTCGGCACTGAAGCTTCCAAAGGTAGATTTATACTTAAGAATTTTACACTTGGCTAATAGGAGAATTTCTTTTGTCTACTTTGTCATCAAATGGTGTTGAGGACAGCTGTGAGCTACCAACGAAATAATGCGGGTTATGCTGGCATTCCTTGTCGGTATGTGTCAATAAATTAACTAATCCTGCTTATGCTGCAATTAGCTGTGAAACTCACTGTCACAAGGTGCCATGGCAATAAAGCCCTAGAATATATGAGCCTCAAAGCCACAGGATATGTAAGTCAGAAACTGATGATGCCCCTGTTTCTGCCAGTTGGCTGTAGGGCCTTAAAGATGCCTGACAAAAGGGAAACACGGAGGGACGAGGTCAAAGGTAAAAATTCAGCCCCATTAGCACTGACACATTGGGTGTTTGAATGGAAATAGAGTATCCAGGTGTGGTTATGGGATTCATTTCTACAGTAACAAGACTTTTGAAGAACTGTCGACCTTTTAATTCAACGTTTGTATCAGTCTGTTGGTAACGGTGACAGGAGGGGAAAAAAAAACCCTTCCTTATAGGCAGGTGATTTTCTAATGTCTTGCTGAAGCGTTTCATGTGCCTTTTTGCAGAGCAGCTGGCGCTTGCTTCTGTCAGACACTGGATAATGAGCTGGATGGAGGGGGGTGGGAGGGAGGTTGCAGTCACATTGGCACAGACAGCCCTGGCTAGAGGAGCACATCAGAAATTCTGAGAGAAACGTGCACTGGATAAAATAAGACTAGAAATAAATATCGTTTACTACCTTTATTTGCCTTTATTTTATTGACTGGTGTTATTTATGAGCAGGAGGAATGACATGTACTTCCTGGTCTTCAGTCTTGTATAGTGCTTGGTGATTAACCAGTTCTGGGTAGAGGCAAAGAAGAGGGGGGCAGTTTGCCAGAAGGAAACAGCTAAGCAGATTTACAAGCTTCCCTTTCGTACCTGGCATTTTCACCTGGCCAGGCACAGAAAGTGTAGATTTTAGAGGACGTGAATCATGAAAACAGCTGCGTTCAGCAGCCTCACCGTCCCAAGAGAGTGCTAGGAGAGTGAATTTCTCAGGGCTCATTATTCTGTGAGCGTGCTTATTTTTATATAGATATATATATATATATATAATATACACGTACACAAACCTCATGTGCGTTAAAGGCAGCCTTGGGACGGAGAATTTACATCAGAAGTGAGAAGATCTTGGGAATGAAGAAACTCTGCTACGCTCGGATGCTCTGGCCTGCAGTTTCCAATCAGTGTTGTAACAGCAACATGTGTCTGCAATTTCTTCAGTTATATCCTGCACATATTATTTACCCAGAACAGTGATGAAAGTTAATGGGTTACATTATGTTAAAAGTGACAAAACTGACTAGTTTTTATTTTGAGTGCAGCCAAAGTACCTCTGGTACATGTGGTGTAATATTCAAGAGGATTTTACTGCTTTGGCCACATGCCTGCATATTCCTCACCTCACTGGATGGTTTTTAAGATTATAAAGATGCTTTTGGTGATTTTCAGCACCATAGTAAATAACTGAAACCCACAATTTTGTCAGAATGTTACAAACACTGAGGTCTGTAGTTAATGGGCTGATATTGAATTTGGAAGCGACGAGACCAAAGGAGAACTTGAATAACTGGAAAGATTCACCTTGACTTGGATCTCTAAGAACCAAGCACACATGGCTTAGTTAACAGGATGTGAGCCAGTCCACAGGAGCAAGGGAGCTGCACAACCACTAGTCCATGCTTAGATAGCTTGGTGTTCAGGTACTTGACACTTGCCATGCTTGGGGACTGGTTTCCTCAGCAGGTTCTCTCTGGGTCCTCTCTCATCATGTCTAAGTACAGTAATGCCTGCCTGGGAATTTGAGCTTACAACATGCTCAAGAGAGACCCTCAGGTGGGGGACATGCATTTCCTGTGGTCTGACAACATTCAGCGTGCCATCTAATGGCAGGGATGGTGCTGGAGTCAGTGATTTCTTTTTCCCTTGAGCTTTTGCTGTAGGAAGCTAATGGCTGGGCAGCCACTCATTCTGTACCAGCTCTGTCAGCTTGTCACTTTCTGGGTTGTGTGCACACCAGGGGACACTGAAAAGAGGTGCATTTTTTTCATGAACTTATAAATAAATAGGTTGCTGCAGTGTTGCTAGCACAAAATGGATTGTAGTATATCCTCCAAAGGTTATAGGGATGAGATATAGCTGTTCCAGGGATATAACAACGTGGATGTTTCTGGCCCCTTCTTTGACAAAGGTGAACAGTGATGATGTGCCTGGTCCAGTGCACATTCTGAACTACTGACATATAAACGAAATGAGTTGAAGTCGTAATACTTGAGTGAAAGCAAAACCTATTGTTTATTCAGCTAGTAAATACAGTACCTCTTTATATAGTGTCATTCATGCAAAAGTACTGAGAAGCCAAGTGCGCAGAGTGCTTTCCAGCCAGACAGTCTAGCATGCAAGTGTAAGAGTATAGGGTTAGCATAACAAATTCATTTTATGCAGACTCTTCTGCATACCTCATGGTTGCACCTCAGTGCTTTCCACATTGCATTAGGCAATGTGACCAGTGGCTGTCACATGTTGGCTCGTCTGCCCTCCCTGTTCTTGATTCGTGTGCTTTAAAGGCAAGGTCACGAAAATGTGTCTCTTGCTTGCTGCAAGGTGATATGGTTTGTGATGGTCTTCAGCTCTGGAGGGGAAGTTCTGGTTTGTTTGTCGGTGTGAATTTTTGCAGTTTGTTTCCTCTGTCACACTCTATTATGTCAGTGGGCAGTGTTGCTAATCTGGAAAACAGTGAAGTGTTCATTATGTAAGCCTTTCTTATTTTGGAGAAAAATGTGCCCAGAACAATTTGCATAATGTTCAGAATAATTTTCAGAATTCCCTAGTGAATAGGGAATTTCAGATCAGCACAAAGTGATGCAGCTCTGCAGTTGTCCATTGGCAAACGTGCTATCCTGAACAGTTTGGCAGCAAACAGGAATGTCTTTTCTTCCAGCTGTCAAAGCTATCTCAGGTCACAGAACTGTGACCAATAGCATAACCTGCAGATACACCGGAGGAGAACTATTTCTCACTTTTATGTCAGTCCTCTGAGTATTTCCTTACCAAAAACCTGGAAGTGGTGGCATTTGGTAAACAAAATGTCTTCTGGGAAAGGCTATTTTAGGTCAACCAGAACTGTCAGTGCATTTGGATCCAGTTTGTTAAGCAGTATGAACGTTACCAGCCTTTTCTTTTGCTGTGACTCTCCTCTCCCTCCTCTTTTTTTCAATTTTAAAGAGACATTGAAGAGAGGGGCAGTGTTTTCAATCATCAGAATACAAGATGGTGAAAAAATACTTTAGGTAATTTGAAATAGGGCAAATTTTTCACTTCGAAGTGAAAACTCAAGATTTTCTTTTGTGTCAAGTTTAGCAAGAAGAGTTTTCCTTGATTCCATAATCTCATTCCTTCCTCCTGTTGGCAAAAGCTGATTTAAAACAGTTCTGTTGAGAGCTGCTTGTATTCCTAGAATAAAAGCATATGCATAAGACCTTTGCTGAATCAGAGCCCATGAGCTGAGCTTAATTCTTAAGTTGACCCTGGAGCTATTTCAAGAAACCATACAGATGATCTTTAAAGATTTTATTTGAGAAATTGACCATTCAGGTTAAATGCTGTTCAGCTATGTAATTGTAGCAACTGGTGGATTGATAATAAAGCATTGTACAATGATTCTTTTTAAGAAGATGAAACTTTCAGAGGTCCAGGGTATACAGTGGATCTTGCTCTTGGATCATCCTGTTAAATCTGGCAGATCATCGGGCCTGTAAAATTTAACAAGAGAGCTCACCCATGTTAGAGTACTGATTTATGTAAAGTTTTGGAAAGTTAGAGGTTCTCTGTACAGACATACTAAACAGGGAATGCATTTATAAAATATTAATCAGATATTGTAAGTATCAGTGACAGTGGTAGTGTTTGACTTTTTGCACATGATCATCTCTGTTAAAATTGCTCCTTTCTCCTCTAGCCTGTCCTCTGTGGCTCAGGACTATGTTTCTCTGTGACATCATATATTGTGCTCCTGCAGCTCCTGGGCTGCTTTCGAGCAGCTCTGCTAGAGGGATTGATAATTATTTACTACTTTATTAGTATATGTTGGTCTTCAGGGGCAAACAGACAGAATTCTTACATGAAAGTCCATCCAGTTTAACAGCCTAAGTCTGCATGAACCTTACTATTTTCACATGTTGTCCCATCAAGCAGAGGTGTATTTACAAAACATTACCTGCTTCAGTAAATGTGTAGGCGTGGAAACTCAGGAAGAAAAGGTGTTTCATTTCCTTGTTTCAGGAAGTGCCCCATGTGCAACAATACTTGCCTGTTTTATTTTATTTTACACTCAAAAAACCCCCACCCACCTTTAACCTTTCTGTCTCATTAAACGTGCTGCAAGCCTTATAACACTTAAACAAGCATCCCATGTGAGGGGCTCTTGACATCAGAGTTTTCTTTCACAGATGCCTGATTACTTCCCCAAAGGTGTCTGATTACTCTTTGCTGGAGTCTCAAATGATGCTGTTTCCCATCAGTGGGATTTCGCCTTAGAGTACCATCTGTAATTATGATCCTAGACTAAGTTAAATAATGAGCAGGCATAAATTCACTCCAGTAAAACTTAGCCTTGGACTCTAAATTAACAGCTGGGACATTTCTCTGGTAGTGCACAGGTGGTGATTTTCCTTACAATACTGTTCTTCTTGTTACACACAGTTTGGAAGTCCTTTTAAATTTTTGCCACTAAAACATGGATGGAAGATATTTGGATTTTCCCTCCTGCATTGCTTGCTGTTGGAGGCATGGCTCAGGCCATCGACCTGCACTCAAAGGAACTGCACTCCTCAAGCAAAGCAGTTTAGTTCTTACTCCCTATTTCATGGCTCCTGATGTCAGAAGTGAAACCACAGCCACCTGCCAAGGTATTGCCTTTTCTGCACAGTGTTAGAGTG